TCTGGTCCAGACTTGATTATTTACAGACCATAGTCAGATAGGGCCTAAACAAATATGTTGTGGTTCCTATTACCCGACAAATCCTTGAATTCTGGTGCCGGCCCTAGTTTTTTTAAGAGGTATGAATAAAATAAGCTTTCAGATACCATTGTTTTTGCCCGGCACCAATGGACATCGGTCATTCTGATAGAAAAAGTCGACATGATGGCTGTAAGCTTGATTGAATAAACAGTTATACATTGATAAATGTGTTATTAGTTTGAATATTTGCTACTACCACCAAGATCTGCACCCGAGGCGGCTCCACTCAGGCTCGCGCCCCAAGCGATAAATGTGTTATTGGTTATTAGCAACCATCCAATCCCTACTCTTACTAACTTTTAGTGAAAGGTGGTTTGCTGTTTGCTATGTGATGGCAGCCTGAATAAGATCAAGTCCCAACCAGACAATCCATTCATGTTGTGAACAATGATCATCCTTGCCAAATGATGCAAAACATTTCTAAGAGATCAAGTGATTGTGAAAAAAGTCAAGTTCAAAGTGAAAAGGTGAAGTAAAAAAGAGGAAATGGTAAACCTGGCTAATAAAGTAGACAGCAGTCGAAATACAGATCATCATCACCATGATCAAACAGGAAACAGTAAACTTGTAAACTTAGCTAAAGGTAGTATAGCATAAAGTAGACAGCAGTAAACTTGGCTCATACAGTAGATCAAATACATCACCATGATCAAACAGGAAAAGGTAAACTTGGCTCATAAAGTAGACAGCAGTGCAAATACAGATCACCATCACCATGATCAAACAGGAAACGGTAAACTTGGCTCATAAAGTAGACAGCAGTGCAAATACAGATCACCATCACCATGATCGAACAGGAAAAGGTAAACTTGGCTCATAAAGTAGACAGCAGTGCAAATACAGATCACCATCACCATGATCAAACAGGAAACAGTAAACTGGGTTCATAAAATATACCACCTGTCAAGGTCCGGGTTAGAATATTGATCTTCAGTAACCCATGCTTGTCGTAAGAGGCGACGAACGGGATTGGGTGGTCAGGTTCGCTGACTTGGTTGACACATGTCATCATATCCAAATTGCGCAGATCGGTGCTCATGCTGTTGATCACTGGATTGTCTGGTCCAGACTCGATTATTTACAGACTGACGCCACGTGGCTGGAATATTGTTGAGTGCGGCGTAAAACTAAACTCACTCACTCATAAAGTACACAGAAGTGCAAATACAGATCATCATCACCATGATCAAACAGGAAACAGTAAACTGGGTTTTATATAGTACACAGCAGAGCAAATATAGATCATCAATAGCATGATCAAACACGATAATGTAAAGTGAGTTCATTGTTATTGAATAACAAGAATTCTCCATCGATATTCAATTTACACTTCACACTAAGTATTGCTGATGTAAAATCCGCCAGTGTAGTTACGAAGCCAGTGTGTCAGTCATGTTTAAGGTCACTGTAGATACAGGTATATCTCTTAAGTACCTGGGTACATTGTGATACTCTGAAATGTACCTGAGTAATCAAAAAGCTAGACTGGGCATTAACTCCCAAGTGCCTGTTTATATCTGTCAGATTCATTGTTAATGATGGTCTATTGGCAACCAAATCAAGCTGCCTTGTGGGCCAATTAATCTGGGATCTTAACAAGGGCAGGCGCGACATTAGCCACAAGGCCAAAGCCAGAGTCCAGTACAACAGCCTCTGGCACAATGGAAGCATCTTTTGTCTCGTAATGTTTTCCTCACAAGTCAAGTGTATGAAAGGACTCTTGTCAAATAGTGAAACAGATACAGTGAATAGGCAAAATTCATTCTCAGCTATATTTGGCCACATCAAACAATAAAATTTAATATTTCTAAATCTTTGGTAAAGACATGTCACATAACAATGCGATGGTTCTGAAATCATATTACTATAAATATCTGTGTTACTTGTGTCTCTGTCTTTTCCACTAAATAAATACTTTGTAAAGGTGAAATATATATATGATGATTAGTATTTAGAACAGGTCCGACTATCAATATCTATATATCATACAGATCGATAATAGTTAACTAATTATTGAGTGATTATCAATAAATGTTAGAGAAGAAAATCAAAAACCCTTGAGGGTGAACTCTCCTATCCAGGGCCTAGATTTTTGAAGCTTTCTTAGCTCTAAGATACTAGTAGTAGTAAGTGCTATATATTAACTTACAACTATCTTAGCGCTAAGAGAGCTTCGAAAATCTAGGCCCTTGAGTCTTTGAACGGCATTTAGAAGTGATACACATAAAAGCGAGAGTGTATGGATGTCAACTTCTTTATTTTGAGGGACACGACGTTTAGGAGTATATTATTACTCCTTCATCAAGTGAATGAAATACTAGGAAACAGACTCACACACACACGCACACAAGCATGCATGCATGCATGCATGCACACACACGCGCACACACACACACAAAACAACAGTGATAAGAGATAAGTTATAACACAATCACAACAACTAAAATTAGTGGCCCCCTTGAGTTTGTTATAACCTTAGTTTACTGCATTAAGGTTCTGTATATTTAAAAACAAATTACTAAATTACTCATCATCATCATATTTGGAAATATCCCTTTGGAAATATCCTTCTGGTTAAAATATCATCATCATCATCATCATTTTGGAAATATCCTTCTGGTTAAACTATTATCATCCCCATCAATGAAAATGTCATCATCATCATATTTGGAAATATCCCTTCTGGTTAAAATAGCATCATCTTCATCATCATTTTGGAAATATCCTTCTGGTTAAAATATTATCATCCATCATCATCATATTTGGAAATATCCTTCTAATGAAAATGTCATCATCATCATATTTGGAAATATCCTTCTGGTTAAAATATTATCATCCCCATCTTCATCATCATCATCCCATCCCTCATCATCATCATCATCATCATATTTGGAAATATCCCTTCTAATGAAAATGTCATCATCACCATCATATTTGCAATATCCCTTCTGGTTAAAATATCATCATCATCATCATCTTCATCATCATCATCATAATATTTGGAAATATCCCTTCTGGTTAAAATGTACAAATATAACAGAAGTCATGACTGCGATCGCTATAACAAGATGTTGGCAGTGACTGGTTCACCTGTGAGTATTGGTTGCCAGCCAGTCAATGTTGTCCCAGCAACATGAAGGCAATATATCCTATAGATGTTCAGAGGCTGTAAACACTGAATGCTTCCGAAACCACTAAGGTTTGACCTGAAACCCTGATGATCACATCATTTGAGGTTCTTCATCATCATTTTTTTTGTTATATCTTGACTTTCTACATGATGCACACTGAATTTGGTGCCAAACAGATTGTAGACAGGTAAGCAACTAATGGACAGAATAAAGGTCCTACAGGGTATCCTTATCTAAAGATGCCCAGAGCATGTGCAGCAACCCCAGTGTTCATCCTTATCTGACAAAGATTTCGCCAATGGTCAGACAGAAGTTTGTGCAGTGTCTGACTGTATATTTCACAATGACTTTGACTCATGTGACACTTGTTTGCTGTTTATAAATCTTATGTTTGTTAATAATTTCAATGTCAATTATAAGAAATATTAAATCTGAAATGTGTGTTTAATTTTATTCCATGGGTCCTGACTTTTCAATGGGTCAGACATGTCTGAAACTTACAGGATCCAATGTCCTGTGACTTTGAAACACCATTATGCTAGATAAAGAAAACTGATCGAGTGGTCAGGCACTGACTTTGTAATGCATGTCACTGAATCCTAATTATGTAGATTCATGTTCATGATTTCAATCACTGGATTGTCTGGTCCAGACTCGATTACTTACAGACCATTGTCATATAGCTGGAAAATTGCTGAGTGCAGCATTAAACCAGAAACTAACAAAGACATGCTTTAAGTCATTAGAGCTGTCATGGTTATAATAAGTCTGTGACATTGTAGTCCAGTCACATTTTGTTCTGTCCTGTGAGAGTAGCTAAAAAAAAGGCCATATGGTGTAAAAATCTTCTAAAAATTATGCTAAGAGCCAAGTTCGGGCTTGTGGCTCAAAAGGTTTGGACACACACTGTAACAAACATCTCTTAATTTCATATCAACACTGGAAAATCAATGTAAAAGTCATTTACAACATGTCAAACATCAAAACTCTTTAAATATACTGAAAAACATCTTTTCTAAGCATGCTTGAACAAGAAGAGTTGGAGATGGTTCAACTTTGAGCCCGCATATCTATATTAATTTGTGCAGGTTCCAATTTTGATACAAGAACATCATTACGAGACCAATCAAACATGCTATAACATATGCAGCTTAAAATGACATGTCATATGGAATTCCCTGGTGCTTCTTATAAGAAACCGAAAATTTAAGATATTTGAATATTAATTTTTTTAACTATAAAGAAAACATTAAATCACCATCATAATTCATTGTTTCTGGACTAAGATGTCACTAACAAAATATATCCTGGAACCGTTTTCTGACTCACCATAGACTAATAAATGCATGTAGTTTTAACATCCTATGACATTGACAGTGTTATTGGGACTGCTGGTGTTAGCCAATGTCCCCCTTGCTCATCACATAATGGATAAAAACTCACACATTCACCATGAAACTAAAAATAATGTTCAGAAATAATGTTTTCTTGGGTAGAAAATATATTGCCAAGTCGGTATGCTCATTGAATGCTCTTCTGGCATCCTATGTTAATTTCTCCTTTTAATTATTTTGGCCCAAATTTAGGTGCTGCCAAACAAATCTAACGCTCTGAAATAAACAATTATGACGGAAGACCGATATCTATGCGATGAAGTATCGAACTGGCATGTGATTGTTCGAAGTGGATGGTAAGCTGTCAACAAGCAAGTGTAAATGAAAAGTGGATGACAGCAGCATGACATTTTCAGCCGTGACGGAGAAGAAAACATCTTTCAAAAACACCCACCTTTGAAAACACCATATGTCTCGGTTTGTGGTTTCGATCCATATTTATTGTTCCAGAATTGATGGTCATTCTTGCCTAATAAAATCCCGTGCATAACGGTTGTTACTTCAATGAGATACCATGAAGCACTAGTCAGATCGGCATCCTCGCTACATCACGGAAGTGGGAAACTGTCTGCTTCGGAAAGCCCCTTACGACCTCAACACGCACCAGCTCATGTGGTGTTTGGCTGACAACTATTACTATACACATATTTACGGTGGCCGTCTGCTGATGATGGTGCACATAAAATATGAACAATCTGATTATTTCAAAAATACGTCTGACTGTAACAGTTCAGAGTTTGAAATTTTAACACTCAAAAAGTAATTGCCATATTCTATTAATAAATTATAGATGTGATACTTAAAGAGTAAAATAATAAGTAAAAAGGAATATGATATTTTTTTTTTTTAATACCTGCATCTTGGATGGAAGTAGTTTTCAATGTTTATTCTTTAGGTTCAAATAACACAATTGGATATCAAATGCTATACAACTTTGTGTAAGTAAACCATTGGTTGACAATATGCATCAACTACATAAATACAATAAATCGATCACATGTTATATGAGAGTTGATCTTTGCTGATCTTTACACATTCAAAAACATTCCATACACATCAGCCACCATTTTGGCCACAAAATCCCCTTTTGGCACAGGTAAGCAATGACACATCACAAATATTGATATCACCTCATTACGGCAAAATAATTAACTTAAAGATCTGACTCATTAGTTAATACTTCAGTAAAGTGCCCAGTTATCAGGTGAATTATATCTCCACACTGTTACCACAGATGCCCTCGAGCCATTTGCTACTATCAGCCACATCCCACAGAGTTCTTCTCTCACATCAGTGGGATGGGTCATTAAAGCAAGCATACAGTAAACAAATGCTATCCATAGCATTAACACTTGAAGACAGGGTTTATAACACATTTGCTTATTGAGGAAATGGGGTATATAGAATATTGTTTTGGAATCATACCTTTATTATAAGGAAAGTCAGTATATTTTTCCATTTAGTCCTTGTTAAAGCACAACAATACAACCTAAAAGTGTGTTTTACACCTGTGAAATGTCATACATAAACCACACTTTACTTCAGTGATTAGCAAGTATAACAGTAAACAGAGCATATTGCATAACCTTACCTCCTTGTCAATAACAGTTGAACAGACTGAAGACAAAAGTTATGCATCTTTTGTTTCTCAAACAAAAGATAATATTGTTTTTGTATACTGAAAAAAAATAACATAACAGAAACATTTTTCATTTATAATTGTTAATAAATAGATTTCAAAATGCAAATGTTTATTTTTTTTAGTATGAACATAACATTACATTGAATATTGTCTTTGATGTGGTTTCTTTGTTGTAGTGTTTTAATATATATGACTACAAAGAGTAGATTAGACTTGCACATGGCAATTATTATTATTTGATAAATAAATTCAGGATCATATACAAAAATAAAAACCATTGTCCCTGCAAAACACTGGTCTCTTTGTACTGTCTGCTTACATGCACTTGTCTCAATTATAATATCAATATATAATGGTCTCTGATACATTCATGTTCATATAATTCAGCAAACACATGGAAAATGGTAACTAAGGCTTAGTCTCTGAATATATATAATTTTGATAGTAACAAACAAACCCATGGAATTCAGAACCTGAGGGAGATTTTTTAAATATGTATAGCTACAACTGCAAGACGACTAGGAAAATGGCTGAGGGAATTTTAAATTGTATAGCATCAAACATTATAAAATTGCATCATTCATTCACAATGAACAGAGTAATTCATGCTTAAAGATTATATGCATGTTTATGTTTATGAGTGTGTGTGTATTTTGGGGAAATTTGAAATATGGATAGCTACAAATGCAAACGTTATAACAAATTTTGAGAGAGAGGAGAGAGTGTGTGTGGGTGTGTGTGTGTGTGTTGAGTGAGTGAGTGTGAGTGAGTGAGTGGAGTGAGTGTGTGTGTGTGTGTGTGTGTGTGTGTGTGTGTGTGTGTGTGTGTGTGTGTGTTACAAAAGATTTTCTAACGTGACAGCAGAAGCTTACAGGGAACTAGTTTTGAATATGACTAGTTGTTAGGAATTTTATTGTTGCTCGCATTTATAGACTCTGGATAATAAAGGCACATCGACCTTTACAAACTTGTTTCATTTGACAATTAATTAATTTTGATGTTATCTTGAATTTCAGCACTCATTTATAGAATATAAATAAATTTTCAATATTTCTCCCATCATTCCTTGCTGACCGCCATTTTCTACGGCGGCACGTTTCTCTGTTCAGGACAATAACTGTAGTGGTTAGGACGCTAAATTATTATCATGGGGGACAAAATTGACATGAGTTTAGATGACATTATAAAGTTGAACAAAAAGCCATCACGCGGGGGTCGAGGCGGTCAAAGGGGAGGGGGAAGAGGCCGGTCAGTCCGTGGGGCACAGCGAGGCGGTGCACGACGCAGTCAAAGAGGTGGTGGTGCTGCCGGTGTCTTCAGAGGAGGCATACAACGGAGAAATCGTCCACAGAATTTTCAAAGGGTACAGTATATCGTGAAAAGTTAAATGTCAGATAGCGAGAGCTCTTCAGACTCTGACGCTATTTAATATTCAACGACTTGTGATGTTATACCGAGAAGCCATTGTTGTTTGGCCCCGTTATTTACTATACAACAGGGAAAACGAAGGAGTAACGTTTTGGCAACAGGTAGAACAGCGAGAGTATGTACCCTACTCTGTCCTCATATTCTGTTAATAAAATAAGACTTACGTGAGAAAATGGACCTAAGCACCGGCTTTATGGTTACAGGTTGGGAATACGGAATACTGTATATCATGAAATGAAATATGCAATTGCCCTTGGTCATATTAATTTAGTGGCAATTATTTTGGCAAGAGTGCAGTTTACCGGGAGCAGATTGCCAACTCAAAGTTCTTGTTTCACAGATGACAAGTGCCTCTTTGATACTTGGGTTAGTTGTGTAAAGTTATGGTACACAACAAACTTTATATTTATCCCAAGTATGCCCATTCTGATCAAGCAACTTTTTATGATCATGAGGTGTTGTCACAACTTACCGATAAAATTACCCAAATTACGATTGATGGGCCAAGTTAGGGCTAGTTGTGAGGTAGTGTATGTTTCAGCTACCTCTCGATGCAGAAATGTAATGCAATGTTAGGAAACTCTCTACATTTGTATGACTGTGTGTTTGTTCGGTAAGAGTTCCTCCCGTTCCCCCATCCAGTGATCCAGGGCTCGAAAATTCCACTCGTCCGCTCGTATTGACAAGTAAAATTTGTTTCGGGCAAGTGAAAAACATAATTTGCTCGTCCTACAGGACGAGTACATTTTCTGACCCAAAAGTAACATTTTTCTTTTTCCTTGAAGTTCAGCCATCTTAAATGGTGAAAGAATTCAATTTTGTCAAAGATGTACAGAAGGCAAAGTAAGTAATGTTTATTGTAGTTTTATTCCAAGCAAACATTTTGAAATAAAATAAATTAAGTTTATATTCATTGTGATGCATGATCTGTAGGGAAAGTACAACTTTAGAAGGACTAGTGGAAAGTGTATATTACTTGCCCTACAGGGCGAGTGCAGATTTAATTTTTTTTCGAGCCCTGCCCATCCCAAATAATATTTATAAATATACTAAAATTATTAACACAACAATTACTAGAGAACTCACAAAATGACTAAAGGTAAAAAAATTAAGTTAGGTTTAGAGTTAGGTTTAGGGTTGGGGGAACGGAAGGAACGCTTTCCTTTTCATTGTTGACTAGACTGCATGTCAAGCAGTTGAAGTTTGTAATAATAGTATCCAAAAATAAATAAACTGTGCAATATTTTGTACTTGGGTTCTGCTTTCCTCGAAGCGAAGCACCATACGAGCCCAGTCAAAGCGGGTGGGCATACCTTGTGAAGAAATTCTAATGCTGCACGGTTTGGGTCTTATTACTAACACATGTATTGCAGCCCTATGTATTACATGTTTTCATATCCCAAATGGACCCGTGAAGGTCCGGGTTAGAATGAGCCTTCAGTAACCCATGCATGTTGTAAGAGGCGACTAACAGGATCGGGTTGTCAGGCAGAATCGCAAAGTTGACTTGGTTGACACATGTTGTCGGTTCCCAATTGCGCAGCTTTTCCCCNATCGATGTTGATCACTGGATTCTGAGTTTATCCACTTGCACCAATCATTCTTTACTCAGCCGCAGTTGTTTTCCTGTCATTCAAATCATTGCAACAAGATATTTGGTTGAAATTCAGTTTGATAAACTTGCCTTTATGATCCTGCATTTTTTCTGGTTGATGAAAGTCACATTTTGTCATAAAGGAATATTTTGCGTTGTTTGTTTCAGACAAAAGAAGTACCGGATGTTTGGCAGCATGACATGTATGATGGTGGTATGGGTGCGAAACGAGGTCTTGTTGGAGGTCGCCTTGGAGGTGGTGGCGGTGCAGGAGCTTCAGTGCAGCAAGGGAAACTTCTAGTGTCAAATCTGGACTTTGGTGTAAACGACTCTGATATTCAGGTAATTGTCATTGTGTTGCTTTCTTGTGCTTACACATGTTTTTAGGACAGTGGCATAGCTTGTATTAACCACGCTGAATTAATGGCTGGGATTGATTGCCCACGTGTCAAATGCAGACCATTTCTTTTGTGCCATGTTATTGTAAGAAAATGACTAAAAGCTGCTTCAAACCATCCTCACTCTCTACATGATTTGGCATTTTGTTGTAAGAACCATCTCTAAATGGGACCTCTTTGACTTACTATGTCGTTTTGGCCTAATAAAATAGCTTGTTGGTCATAATTTCAGTCATTTACTTGTTTCAAATTTTACTCACACAGCAAGCAGCTGTGATGGAGCTTAAATGTCGTGGACTGTAGAGGACAACATTCACTCACTTGCATATATTTCAGTGAACGATTTGAGTGGTTTCACAGCAGAAATAGGGGTGTTCCTCTTTTGCCAGTCGGGCAAGTTGTTGATTTAGGGATTAAGAGGATCACCAGACCATGTTAATTAGCAAGACAATGGTGGGGAGGGTGGGGGATGACGGAGGAGATGACCAAGCCAAGAAAGACACAAGTGGACTATCATTTGTATTTTTATGTTCAGCATACATAAATGACCCAGTAAAACGTAAATACAGAGAACTTAACGATAGACTACAGAGAAAAAGACCATCTTCAAGCAGGAAGGAAGACCATGATAGAGTATGGAGATGCTGTTTCTCATCTTGTTGGACTTTAAAGTCAATTGTGTATGAACCATCATTGTGGACATTGATGATGTATGATTGTGATTAGTAGTTTATCGATTTCTTATATTTACGCAGTTACATAATGCTAAACATTGTGTACAGTTATGTATGCTATGTGTTGTTTGATTGTGATTAGTAATTTATCAAGTTATGTATGCTGAACATAAAAAATACAAATGATAGTCCACTTGTGTCACTTGTGTGCATGGCCTGTGGTCTGTTCTCACTGTATCCTTGAGGGTGACAAGGTCTCTGTAGCTTGTGATCATGTCGTCCCTGGTGTTAATTGTTGCTCAACAAGAAGGATAGCAACATCTCCAATGTGTATCACGCTTGCTAGTCATTATTCGAAACTTATATCCCTGATACACTAAACTTCTACCACCTCGACCATTTCAGAGGCGCAGATAAGCTGCATATCCGGGTAAAATATGCATAGAAAATTTCCAATTACGCATTGAAAAATAATTGTTGCGTACCAATTACGCATTTAAAATGTTAGATACGCAAATAGTTTAAAACAAATGCGTACGGAATATATTTATAAAAATCGCTTGCGTAATGAAAAGACATTGATTGCTATCAAGTTGTACTGTTAGTATAGGACAAGTGATGTACTGTCAGTATAGGATGAGTGATCTTTTATGAAAGCATTTCAATTATATTTAAGTTGGTTTTGATTAGGTATGACATAAGGAAGAACATACCTGCTTAGTAAACTTACTCAATGACATAATACTTAGGTGAGTAAAATGACTGAAATACGCACATATTTGAAAGCAGTGGGTAACGGAAAATGAAATACCACTCATCATTCATAATGCCCACTCCAAAAAAACAGTGGGTACAGTACCCACATGAGCTAAATCTTATCTGGAGCTCTGCATTTGGAACAAACTGAACGTTTACCAAAGCATTTGCCATCATGGGATAAAGTGAAGACTTGCCATAACATGGCACCTAATATACCTTACAGTAAAACAACATTGTTACTTATTGCTGTTCTCCATACATGGAGATGTATGGAGAACATGGAGATGTATGGAGAACATGGAGATGTATGGGGAACATGGAGATGTATGGGGAACATGGAGATGTATACATGGAGATGTATGGGGAACATGGAGATGTATGGAGAACAGCCATGTAATAACTGAACCAAAATCATTCAGTCTACTGGTGAAGGCCGTGTGGGATTAGTTAAACAAACAAACCCAGTCGACCATGCCTCATAATCCTCTTACTCTTTAAATATACAATTTGCCCGACTGGCAAAAGAGGATACCACCGAGAAATAGTTATTAGCTTTTGTTGGTTTTCATAAAGGTTGAGAAATGAAAATGTATTACAGACTTTAGAATAAGGCTTGTATAAGGGAGATTTCCATAGTTGTACATATTGATTTTGAGTTTTGTTGTGTTGGGTGAACAAATGATTTCACTGCCATTATTATTAAAACTAGCTGAATATATTCTAATGCAATGTTATCAAATATCAACCACAGCATTGTGTGGTCCAGATTCTAATATTTACACTTACTGTCATAAAGCTTAAATAATGCTTTGGGCAGTTTTAAAGAACAAATGACCCGTGAATTTCCAGGTTAGAATATTGATCTTCAGTAACCCATGCTTGTCGTAAAGGCAACTAACGGGATTGGGTGGTCAGGCTCGCTGACTTGGTTGACACATGTCATCGGTTCCCAGTTGTGCAGATTGATGCTCATGCTGTTGATCATTGGATTGTCTGGTCCAGACTCAATTATTTTCAGACCACCGCCATATAGCTGGAATATTGCTGAAATATTGCTGGAATATTGCTGATTGGAAATGGGTAATTGATGCAAACCTCAAACTCACTATTCAGTGTTCTTGTGTTTTGGAACAAACAAATATTGGAAATGGAAATGGGTGTGTCTATTAGGATTGGCCTTAACATATAAAGATCAAACTATATTCTTGTGTTGTGTAATTTCTATGTCAGTGGTTGTGAAAATCTGCAATCCATTTTATCTAAATTGCAGGAATTGTTTGCTGAGTTTGGTCCATTAAAGATTTTGAAGGCAGCAGTTCATTATGACAGATCAGGTCGATCTCTAGGTACTGCAGAGGTAATCTATGAAAGAAGAAGTGATGGAGTGAAGGCCTTAAAACAGTACAACAATGTACCTCTTGATGGTAAGTTCCAGCTGGGCCTGCAGCCGCATGGATTGAATCCAAGTTGAAATCAGCTACCAAGCAAACCTTTCTCGTCATAGCTAACAGCTTGTATAAGAATTGGCTGGGCGCTGTTGTGTATTTGTCATACCGTGACTGCAGTGAATCGCCCCTTGCCACTAGCCACTCCCATGCAGTCGGGTAGCCTTGTTACTTATCACAATCAAGATCTTTTTAGTCTGCTGCTTAAGCTTCCCCACATGGGTACAATGCGTGAAGCCCATTTCAGGTGCCTCTTGCCAATATTGCTGAATGCATCAGTGGCGGCTTGTACCATTCCTTCTGATATTAACAAGTGGCCAGATGCGATCTATAAACCCTCTGAAGACAATTGCTGGGCTATTTACAACCTTTAGAGCATTAAACATTAATTTGTCAGCGGCGTGAATTCAAGCAGGTTGCAAGTGACAACTTTATATCAATGAGAGCAGGCAAGCCTCCTTATCTGTTGTGTATTTTGCTTGACTGCAGTGAATGATTAAGCCCTTGCCACTAGCCACTCCCATGCAGTCGGGTAGCCTTGTTACTTATCTCACAGAAGATCTGTGTTCGCTTCCCAACATGGGTACAATGTGTGAAGCCCATTTCAGGTGCCTCTTGCCATGATATTGCTGAAATGCATCAGTGACGTATAACATGACTCACCCACTCACTCGCTCACCATCCATTGCCTTGCTTGGCCAAGACTCTTGTGTTAAGGACACAGCTTTGACTCTGACATAAATGATGCTCATTCCCTTCTGATATTAACATTAATTCAGTAATGTTATTACCTTATGTATAAATACCAGTCTGATTGGCCCATTACTATTTCATTGCCATGTCCCACTAACTGCTGGAATTGCCCAACTGTTGGCTTTTTATTTGCAACGTGCAGTCCAGTTTTTTATATACGTAATGTGAGATGCTATTCTTCAAATGTTTACAATATCTTTGGAATGAAATAGATCAAGGTGAAATAACTCTAAAGTTTGTTTTGTTCTCTGCTATAAATCCCTAATTGGTATTCTTATTGATTGACACTAATGCTTTCATGCACAGGATATACCTGCAAAGTAATTAGGTGTGCGATATGTGAGATAGATAAATTTGTCCACTGGTCACTTGGCGGAAATGGGTTCCACTATGAATTGTGATCAGCGTTTAGTTTACTTAAAACAAGCTGCCACTCATCTACTTTGGCTTTTTCTTTGGAACCTGCTCAGAATTACGTATTGTTCTAAAGTTTCCACATACTACTTTGACATGTGTACATCATGATACAAATAATGACCTGTGTACCATGATACATGCTGTAACCTTGCTGTATCCTTTCACTGCCTAATGGCTGCCTCTGTGGTCTAGTATATAGTGTCAATACAGCGAGAAGATGCTTGGTGGTTCAACCCAGGCTCTCATCATATGAAAAGATGTTATTTGTTGTTACCCTGCCTGGAACTTGGTATTCAGGGAACAAAACAAGGACTGGCCAGTCAGCATACTGTATCTTGTGTGCATGGCAACTCAATGGGCTAGCACTGTACAATCAATGTTACTTCAGACTGGTACACGCACAAGATTGTAGCAAAATGCTAATTCAGTGTTTCTGCTGGCATTTTTTACAGCTGGACAACGTGACTGGCTAGCATTTCAAATACTGTCATTTGTAAATTTTCCCAGTCAAGTGATCATGCTTTTCATTGTGAGCAAGACCTTGCACCCTAACAACCAATCAGAAATGTAGGGGGTAGCGCATTACGTCCATGCCACTATTTTTCCGCCTGCGGTTTTCCAAAACTGCTAATTTATTATTTGACAACACCTCGTCATTGTGAAAACGCAAACTTTTTTTAGGAGAAATAAAATTGACAGAGTTAATTAGAAAATTGATTTTAAAATTTGCTGGACAGGATGACTCAGTGACAGCCTTTGAAATTACAGGACATTCAACTTTGTACCGGTCAAAGTCTGGTATATACCGGATAACGAAAACACTGTAATTGTAATTTAGAAGTTTAACAGTATCTTGTTATCTTTTAAATGTTTAACACTTTGAATATAACTTGTTCCTCCCATCATTTGCTTTGTTTAATGTAAACCAGCAAAAGTGATTTTAGAACATGTTACATTGTGTTCTTGATTTAAGTACTAGGTACTGAAAAACACTGGTAGATAGCCAATGAATATGGGTCAGTGTAGTGCTAGTTATGAACCCATGTAACTGACTAATAACCAGCATGTTTGTTTCAGGTCGTGCTATGAACATCCAACTGGTTGGTCAGGCAGCAGGGGAGACAGCAAGGCCAGCATTCACTGGGGGGAACAGACAAGGGGGGAAGTAAGTGACGCCTTCAATGTTGACACTGAACAAATTAGGAATTACTTCCCCTTACATGTGACTATTATCCTTGTAACACAGGTTTTGTTGTGGACGTTTACATTCATATGTATACTCATGGAAACAAATAAGGGAACACATGAAAGTACATTCCTATCTTTATTTCCAGAGTTTCACCCACAGTGCAATACATACCTTGTGAAGAAACGTGGAAAAGAATAAAGGACTGCTTGTACTAATACTATCATGTGTTCCCTTATTGGTTTCCATGAGTATATTTATTGGATTAGTCTTATACTGCCTTAATACAACTAAACAAAAATAGGATTACTTTCCTTTGGAACTATCCACATTGGGTAGTAAGACTTTGGAAATGTATTTGTTTGAAAAAATGTTCTGCTAAATATTGTAAAGATATTAACGGTGTGATTGGTAAGCTGATATCGGGTGTTCAAAATAGCGTTGAAGATGGATATAATACCAGATATATATGTAACAACAATCTGTATGTTAAAGCAGATGTTTATGCAAATGTGGTACACATGCCCTTAATGTACAGATATACCAATATTTTGAATATATTTTAATATTGATGTCCTTGCTGCTAAAATCACCAAGAAGGTGAATATACTATGTGTTATTAATGTTATTAATGTTCTGAATATGAATATAAGAATCAAATAGCCACCTGACTATGATCATGCATATCCCACAACTGGAATATTTGTACTTTGATGGACAGCAAATCTAGCTACATTCTTTTCAGATTTGCTTTTTTTGTCAAATTGATAATGTGTTATTCAGATCCGTGTACAACATACTCTGCAGGTGACTAAAAACCATTGCACTAGCAGCCTCATTGCAGCATATTTGAAAGAAATCTCTAAGCTGTTGCTGTCAGTTTGATGAAACTTTGGGTTTGATAGCCTTTGGAAACTCTGAGCAGTCGGTTTCCACCTCTTTGGAATGTTTTCACATACTTGGGAACTTTGCAGTTATGGCGGGAGGTGGCGGTGGCGGTGGCCGAGGAAGCAACAGAAGTCGAGGTCGCAGCCGAGGAAGAGGAGGTTTCGGAGGAAGAGGCCGGGGTCGGGGACAGCAGAAAACACCCACAGCCGAAGAGCTGGATGCTCAACTTGACGCATACAATGCTAAGGTGGGTTTAATGGGAAAAGTTAACAGAACGCGTCTGTGGAATAATGTGGTGTTCAGTGTTTCTTGTCGATCATATGAGCCATTGACTGAAATGTTTGGTGTACTAATTGACATTTCTTGTGGACCAAATAGTCATCTTTAGTTAGCTGTGTGATCCTACGCAATTATTGAGTAGTATAGTATCTGGTATATTAACAAAGCTGTCAACAAGTGTCTGGATATTTTGGGTATTGATTGCTCATGCATACCATTCATAGGTGGATCCAGAGGGGGTGGGGGGATGTGCAACCCCCCACCCCACCCCCCTTTGTGCTGAAAGTTTGTTAAGTGACCATTGAAACTCGGGTGAAAATGAAGTGTGCACCCCTACTTTACTCAATAGTGTGCATCCCCCTTTCTCAAAAAGCTTTATCCGCCCCTGCCATTTGTCTTGTCCCATAACGTAAGGGTCTTCATGACTATATAAGGGGCGTGGTTGGCTTGGTTAGAATTGGGTTTCAGCAACCTGTGCTTGTACAAGGTGACTAATGGGATCAGGTGGTCAGACTGGCTAACTTGGTTGACACAGTTCATCATATGGCACTTGTGAAGAGATTATTTACAGACTACCACTATAGCAGGAATATTGCTGAGTGTGGTGTTAAGCAACAAACTGAAATGTTGCCTATTCACTCATAACTAGGGATGCCACAATACATTGATACATCAATATTTTTCTAAGACAATACAATTATTGATACATTCAAAACTGTATTGATATTTAGTTTTGAAAGTATCGGTTTAAATATGTTTATGTATCGTTTACATTTTGCAATTGTATCATGGTTTTTGATGTTATGAGAGTTAGTAAAGATTATTTTTCATGCACAAAGATGGGAAATTAGAACTTTTTAATCTCTGAGAATAATAAATGTTATTTTTCCTTATCCTGACTCATGCTCTTTTGCTTGTCTCCTTCCTCTTGCGAACATAGTGGAACACTTGTATCTCCCTAATTGAAGTTCCCTTCAATGTAAAATCACTAATTAGTACACCACGAGTTACCTCCCTTCCACAAGCGCGGGAACGAGGGCGCCACCTCTACCCATGTGCCTCACTCTCTCCTTCTTAGCCCAGTGGGCTGGGCGTGAGAGCCTGTGTCTCCGACACACTATATCCTTTGATTATATTTAGTTAGTTACCTGGTATAGAGATCTATAGAGGTTTAGCTAGTATCTTTCAACAATTATATATTGATATTTAGTAGTGTTTCTACTGTTTATGCGGGGCCGCCGTGCTGTTTCAGTGGATTACGTTGATAAAATTCTGTACTGTTGCACATTACGTTTTTATTCTGCTGCTGATCCGCATTTAATATGCCCTAGCTGTACTGCGCCATGTTTCATGTGATTCCGTTGCAGTTGCGATACTAATTTATCAATTCTACCTTTAATAAATAATTGCTTTGCGTTTGAGGCCAGCGCAGCAGATAGAGTCGGCGTATGCAGAGTCTAGCCATGACTGATACACCTGAACCCCTCGCCAGTCTACTGCTGTTGGTCGACCCCCTCCCGTCTGGTGTTCGCTAGAGTGGTGGAAGTGGGGCGTAGTCCGCCCGCCTCTAAGAAGCGTCCTGCTTCCCCAGACATCCCATCGTCGCGGCCGAAGACTAGAGGGTTTCTACTGCATCTCAGCGCGACCTCTGAGGGAAATCAGCGAAGTCTACTTGAACTTTCTCAGCGAGATTGTTCCGTCGCAGATTTGGGCCTGTATGATGATCAGCCGATCATCATACCTGATAATACATCAAAGAATGACCGATGTCGACAACAGGCAGCGCCAGACCGCACCCCAGGGCAGCGTCGACCTCTGAGGGGAAATCAGCGAAGTCTATTAGGACTTTCTCAGCGAGATTGTTCCAGCCGCTGAACTGGGCCTCTCACGATGATCAGCCGATCATCATCCCGGCGTCGCATACAAGAAGCGACCGGAGACAGCTACAGTGACATCAGCAGAGATGCGCCATGCAGCCTGAGGTCTCTACACTGGCGTCAGGCGACTTCCCTGAGGGCCCCGCCCGCTAACATCGCAGAGAGGGCACCGACTAATTAAATCGCAGACCATCCCAGATGAACTTTTGCGGCAAATCATGATCATGATGGAGGCCACTACAGACTGGGAAGCAGCCAGCCCAAGGCCTGAGCCTTAGAAAGGTTCCAGCATGAGCGACACCCCAGAGGCACCCCATCATCAGCGTAAACAGCCACGGCGAAGCCACCTTGGCGAAGGAAGTCGCCAGACCACCTCCGCGAAGGACCCAGATGTACAGCCTTAGCGAAGGCCTTGCGGCGGGATAGATCATCACCTTCCTCGGCTTCATCCTTAGATCGCGGACTCAGACCATCAGACCTCCGCGGAAGCCTTGGCGAAGGTCAAATCGCCCGTTCCCAGGACCCGGACGCCAGAGGAAGCTTCGCGAAGGCCTTGGCGAAGGCCTTCAGCGAAGGACACCTGACTACACAAGAGCCGGTGAAGCTATCAACATTCTCCTCACAGGTCTCGAGAAGGTCAACCCATAGGCGCCAGATCACCAACCACGATCTCCGCGCCGTTAACGGCGCCGATCTTCTCATACATCACCCGTCGATCGTCTCACAGGTCACCACACAAGTCTGCACACAAGTCTACAGTCAGCTCTCCCGGCGTCACCCGACATAGAGATAGAAATACACAGTCCACCATCAGAAGAGCATCAACATCTCATAGCGATGCTGGGATAGAAAATGATGGAGACATCATTTTCTCAGGCAGCTGAGATCACGATATTGGATGGTAAACAACCTAGATCTCTCTTCACCTTCCAAGAGTGGCAACTTCGGCAGAACATACCTGATAAAGGAAGGCGAGGCAGGCGCCATCACCTTACCTCCGATCGACTTCGATTGCTGCGGTGCCACAGTATGTGGACACAGCCTACCATAAAGCCATAACAGTTCAAATGCCAAAGTATGTTCTTGGCATTAATAGATCTAGAGCGATCAATGAGATTCTTATCACCAGATTTAAGTGACCGACTTCTGAAGATGATAGGATGATCTACTCGGCTCTACTTATGCAGAACCAGCAAGAACCACACCCTGTATGAAGCTAGCGGCTCATATATTGATCAGTTCTAGACGCCGGCTAAGGAAGTCCCAGGCCACCTCAGCGAAGGAGCTAGAGCCTCACCAGTTACAAAGGGGCGTCCGCGGAGGATGGCGCTTCACCGACCCACATATTGCTGAGTCGCGGTAAAACAAAACACTCACTCACTCCTGTTGAACACAGAGGTGGATTCGCGAAGCAAAGCTCATATATTATATATATACTGATGGGGCTCTGACTCGATACAGCCGAAGGTCGCGAAGGCTAAGTGGCTCAAGTCTACCTCACACAGGAAATCTAGAATGGATGCTTGAGCTTAGCGAAGTCTCCGGCGTCCACCGAGGAATTCTCCTCCAAGGTCTCCATATATTAGCCACTTGTCATATATAGCTACTTTCGTCAGTCCGTTCAAGACATCGCATAAGTTGTCTATCAACTGTATGCCATATGCGATCTATAAGCCTCTGGCGAAGACAATTGCACAGGCTATTTACAACACAGAGCGTCGCTATATTAATTAATCAGCGGCGTTGCAGAGATCTTCACAGAAATCAACTTTTCATTATAGATTGCTAGAATATGCAATCCCGGACTCTGATCACGATTATCTACATGCGTGACCATTCGCAGATCTGCAGACAATTCAATGCTCGAAATTGAACAGCAGCCTTGTTACAGCGAGTATAACTCATAATCGTCAAAGTTTCTGAGAAGAAATATGTACAGGTTCAGCTTTAATTCTACAATTATGGCGATACATTCATGTATACAGTCTACAAGCTGACAACTTGCAAGTTTATTGTACCTTTATATAAGGAAGTCGAGATTATATTCAAAACTGAAATTACATTCCGACAGCCAGGAAAATAACCTACCCAGCATTAATATTACAGGCGAGGTATTTGGCGGGAGGTTTCAGCGTTTACCTTAACCCTCGAAACAAGTGGTCACTTTCGGGTAACCGGGGAAAGCTCACGGTGAAGACCGGCGATTATGCTAATATCAGCGGCGGCAAGATTTTATACAAGGTTTTCCTGCTACACGGTGACATCACAAGCGGGTATTCTACAGAATCAAAATGCCTTGTTCTGATTGGACGCGTTGGACAGCGACCCTGAGAGGTCGATCTTAGTTCACAGTTCAAGACTTACGTTACAAGTGACAACTATATATCAGTGAGCGAGCAAGCCTCCTTACAGTCCAGTTAATCTGAACCTTCATGATTGGGCTGCTTTCTTCAGGTTAGAGGCCTCCCCTGTCAAGTTAGGGCGAGGGCCGCGGCAGTCAGGCAATTTTACATAAAGTTCAGCGAGGACAGACACACCTGGTTATGCACCTACATCGTCAAAGGACCTGCTTGGCGAATAACCTAGGCGGCCGGGATACAAGTGGATCTAAATCCACAGCGTCTCAGACTACAGCTGAATTTCATAATCAAGCTACTAACACAACTAGATGGTTAGTAAACCTACTTAAACTTTCTGATTGGAGAATTAAAGCGGAAGTTTCACCCTCCAACTTGGGGATCTGAATATAGTGCTCCAACACCTCACAAGTGAGGTTTATGAACAACGCCTGGATGACATACTTGGACTCCATGATACGATGATTCTATCGCGATGGCCAGCAAGAACACTGTAAATTTATCTCCACCGAACCAAACAGAAGGGAATAATACAACAGATTATTTCCTCTATCATCAACTTCATAAAATGAAATCTCGCGTACTATATCTCCGTTTGGATCAGAACTGTCATACTACGTGCATACAAGGCGGATGGACCCAATCCGACCCTCCATGAGCTTTTAATACTCATGATATTAGAAGCTAACTTCTACAATTGATCTACACAATATTATTTGAAATAATGGAGCTTTATTTTCTGGAGATCCGATATGGTGGTTGCCAACCATT